GAGAGAGAGAGAGAGAGAGAGAGAGAGAGAGAGAGAGCACTGACAGTGCTGCCAGTCTGAAGACTCTAACGTTCTGAATTGAACTGCAAAGTTCGAACTTTTAAGTTATATATGAGGTTATGAACTTAAATTACTAAATCCAAAGTTCAAAGTCCAAAGTTAATCATACTTTTTTCAAAAAAAGAATTCTCTGTTTCTTTAGTCTTGTGCTTGCTTTGCACTGTTTGCCAATCTGCATGTCTGCTAGTTAAATGTGCTGGTTGACTTGCTGCAAGACACGTGCTCTGCTGCCTGAACTACAGAGTGCAAAGCAGGTAAGTGCCTGCCAACACCCCCCTCGCAACCCCCCCTGTTTTGTTTTGTTTTTGGGGTCCGGACATTTTTGCACCTCGGGGACCGGTCCGGACTGTCCGGTGTCCAGTGATGTCCGGATCACCAGACAGTCCGGACCGGTCCAGACGCTGGTCCGGAAGACAGTCCGGAAGTGTCCGGTGTCCGGGTCCGGGGTTACCATGACAACAACAACAACAACAGTATACATACTGTCACAGGTAGAACACCTAACGCACTGCATTCTATAGAGCCTGCAAGTGCACCCACAAGTGCACCCGTTTCAGTAACAGAATTGTTTCCTCACACTGTACTACTTGACAACACTTCTTCGCATCCACACATTCTCAAGATCTACGGTTCATGACCTCCACTCAATATTATTGATGGTTTATCTGGACCATGACATCAGCATTATTCACGGCACTTGGTTGGAGTTTGGACTGGGACCAAGGACTGTGAGGCATTTGAATCAGGCCAAGGACCAAGACTTCAGCAATATTCACGACACTCGGTTGGAGTTTGGACCAGGACCTACGACTGCGGGGCAATTGGATCAGGACCAAGGACCAAGGAACTTACCCGGGATGCATCTGGACGTCGCCGGCCCACATGGCACTACTCCCACTGCCTGCGACGGTACAAGTTACCGGCAGCGCCGCACTAGAGGCAGGCTGCGAAACTTGCTGAATTCGCTGCACTTCCCTTGAACCTCCCTCGGTTCACCCGTCCGCCGGCAGCAGTCAGTGCGTACGTGAATCTGCAGTCACTCAGTCACTTCCGTCAGCTGGTCTGAGGAGAGTCATTTCTCCTTCGCCAATTTTGGCGAAGCAGTCCTGCCCACCCTCGATCTTCCCACGGTGTGTGTGGGCCTGCGGCCCCCAACTCCGTGACTCTCCTATTCAATCTGGCATACCTGTGCAGCAAGCCACCAAATAAGGAAAAAGCAAATGCAGTGGGAAAAAGGGGAAACTACGCGGGAGTCACGAAAAAGAGAGTTATAATTGCACTATGGGCAGATACAGTTTCGAATTGCAGTTCAGGCAATGTATACAACCCAGCTTTCTGGACAGGTAGGGTGCCCGAAGTGCAATTGCAAACTGTATCTTGCCCCATAGTGCAGTTATAACTCTTTTTTGTGACTCTACTGAAGTTACCCCTTTTTTTTAACAAACACAGTTCCTTTTTATTAGGGGCCCTCTTATGGAACGAAAAAAGACTTAGTCTAAACTCGCCACACCAGTGTCAAAACAGTGAGATATTGGCCAGCTGTCAGACCATTTTTGACATTCACAGTTTCAACACAAAGGGTGCCGCCTTCGCCACACCGTATGTCGAAGACCCAGGAAAAATTAAAAGATAAAAAGAAGAAGAATACACCGAATGTTGAGGCAGCGTCAGTACCCCGACCCTGACAAGTGTCGAAATCTGCACATCCTTCACAACGGCCCTTCCGAGGTGTTGAAACTCGACCCGCTGCAGGCAGGCCACGTGTTTTCGACATTTTTTCTTCAACAGTCTGTGTGGCGAAGAAAAACTGTTGAAAACTCCACTTTTGACATTGGTGTGGAGAGGCCCTAAGAACCATATCACTTTTCCTTTTCGCAGGTGATGCTCCCCACCAATAGATGGTGACGAAGGAGCCTCTCCCCGGGTGCTAGTGCTGCCTGCTTTTACCAGCAGCACTAGCACTGCAGGGGGTGTTGTCTTTAAAAAAAAAAAAAAAAAAAAAAAAATTAAAAAAAAAAAAAAAAAAAAATCATTTTCGGCCGTCGCACACCGTGGTCCTAGCCCAACAGATACAACACCAAAAGGCCTAGAAAGGTATACCGCTTTCGCGTGTTTCGTGGTCTTCGAGATGGTATTGGGCCTCGCTCCACTACTCTCCACATGTGCAAAAGAGAGGAAAGATGGCAACGTATCTTTCCATGTTCTAGCAGAGGATTCAGATCTCCAGGTGCGCGAAAGACAGAAAAGATGGCCATGTATCTTTCCATGTCCTAGCAGAGGATTTAGTCTCATTTTGCACATTTGGAGAGTAGTGCAGCCAGGCCCACTCCTCCTTGCTCCACTACTCACCAAATGATCAAATACAATGGATCTTCCGCTAGAACATGGGAAGACACAGCCATTTTTTCGGTCTCTTGGACATGTAGAGAATAGTGGAGCGAGGATCTCCTCCTTTTCTTTTTCCTTTTTTTTAAAACAGTGATCTCCACGTTTTGGTTGTGGTGGAAGACCACGCTCCAACTCGAAATGAGCAATTTGGGGGGAGGTAGCGCTTAGCGCACGCGCGACAGGTGTGGTGCTCCGCTAGTGGTAGAGATGGAGATGGAGGAAGAAGGGGGGAGCGAGATGGCACAACGCAGCTCCCCACGCAAGACTCCAACGCACGAACTCCAAAATGTGCAAGTGAAGAATGAATCAAGAAACAGACAACTGCTGGGGTATACCCCAGCTGGGGTATACCCCATCGGACTGACTGACTGGACTGGACTGGCTGGTACAGGCAGAGGTACCGGCCTGGACTGGACTTACCCCGAATACAACACAGGCCTGTGAGAACAGGCAAGGTTCTGGTCTCACAGGCCAACCTACCAGAGGTCCGCTACACAATCCTCGGCATGTGATGGATCGCCTAGATACAAACACGCTTCCGCCAAGAAGCGGAACTCTACCAAAGAGAAGAAAACCTAAGTAGTCTAAGATGCGGAGCAAGCTCCATGTTGAGTCCATGCGATGCAACCTAGGATAGAAAATGTCACAAAACAGCAATGTCACAGCTAACAACCTAAGTGAAAGCAAAAACAACTAACTAGCATACATGTCCTAGGAAAGTAAAAGCAACTAACTAGCATACATGTCCTAGGAAAGCAGAAAGTAGTGACAACTAGATCCTAGAATGTTGGAGGCAGTAACCTCAGTCTGGGAACAACTGACTAGTGTATAAGACCTAAGAACAGCAAAAACAAAACAATCCTAGAAATGGCAGAGGCAGTAGCCTTAGTCTGAGAGCAACAAAGCAACAATAAGTCAACCATATGTCACAGGAGAAGTGTGTCGCAAACCAAAGGGTGAGATGGTCTCTGAGGGTGGCGAATGCAGCATAGGGGTCGAAAAATCCTAAGGGCATCCACACATAGTGACCGGGGGAAACACATGTCATCAGGCTGAATGAGGGTAGGGAACTGGGAGCGAGCAGAACCAATGACCCTAACAGATAGACCATCAGGGCGGGTAATGCTCGACTAAGGGGTGACCGCTATGGAGGGTCGACCATGCAAGGGAACAAGGGAGCCTGGTATACTGGGCGCACCTAGATGAAGCATGCGGGGCTGCCTAACTAGGGCGTGAGGGCCGGCGAAGGGTAGAAAGATGATAGGTAAGGGAATCATGCAAATGACTCCTAAAAAGAGGGAATTCGGAGCTAGATCCGTAAGATGGGAAGCCAGGGCAACGCTACGGTCCCGATGCCTATGTGTATACCAAGGGAGATCCCAAGTCAGAGGAACCCGGCTAAAGAGAGACCATCATGTGACATAAGCAGGGTACTGTACAGGGTAAAGTGGTAAGAAGTGGCGACGTCTGAAGTAGGCAGAGCTGATCGTGACGAAGTACATGAAGCTGCCGATGACGTCCACGATGAGAAGTCCGGAATGCCGTCGAGGAAGAGCCGTAACGTCGATGAGCGGAAGTAGCAAAACTGGAGTGGATGGAGTACTGAGAAGTCAAGGACGTGGGAAGGTAAGTCAGAGTCAATCGTCGTATCGAGCAGGACGACGACGAGTGTGTTGTGGACGCTCAGAAGCATCCGGCTGCTGCTGAAGGTCTGCCTCAGATGGAGCAGGCTCGACTTCAGCGGTCTCCTCAGTCGGGGGAGAAGGAGGAGGGTCAGTGGGCTGAGGAGGAGCAGTGAACCCAGCACGACGAGCATGGTCATAGGCACGCACCAACATGCGACCGTGCTTAAAGTGCTCGAGGGGCTCCCAGGTGGCCTCCTCAGCAGGGTAACCCTTCCAACGTACGAGATACTCGACGTGGGGAGGGTTGTCGTCGGTGACCCGGCGACCAATGATGTCTGAAACGAGGAACTCCTCGTAGCCATCCACCATGAGAGGTGGAGGGCGCTCGTATGGTCGTCCAGCGAAATGCTGAGACGGTCTGCGATAAGGACGCAGTAATGAGACGTGGTAGACATCGTGCACACGAGCTTGGCGTAGATAGTCAGGCAGCTTCACACGGAGGCTGACCGGGCTAGAAGCCGTATCAGAACCGACGACCTGGAGGACGTCGAAACTTGCGAAGCGTGTCTGTTTCGGGCTGTAAGTGACGGGCGTCGATAAGAACATCATCACCGACTTTGAATGGATGATTAATGCTCGATTGGTTCGCGCGTGCTGCCATGCGAGTCTGGGAAGCGGCTATGTGCTCATGCGCGGTCTTCATGATCGACGTCATGTGTGCAACCCAATCATCCAGCGCGGGACAACTTGTGTCGGGGTGCATCTGTGACGGTCGGAGGAAGTCCGCGGGAACACGAGGGTGGTAGCCGAGGTCACAATAGTAAGGTGACATCCCCGTGGCTGGCGAGACGGCGTGGTTGTAGGCTATCTCCGCGTGGGTAAGATGGAGGTCCCACTGCTGGTCGTCACGAACAATCTTTCGGGGTATATATCTCCGAGAGTCCTGTTCATGATCTCGGTTTGACCATCAGTCTGAGGATGGTAAGACGAGGAGAAGCAGGGCTGAGTGTCATATACCTCGGGGAGCCGTCACCAGAATCGGCTGGTAAAGTGCGGGTCACGGTCAGATACGATGCTCAGAAGTAAGCCGTGGTCACGCACGACTCGATAATCCACGATGTCGGCGACCTCACGTGCACTGATGGCATAGCGGCACTGAACAAAGCGTGCACGCTTCGTGAAGCGGTCGACGACGACCAGGATAGCATCATGACCGCAGGGGGTCGGAGGACGAAGAGGACCGATAAAGTCCATCGAGATGGACTGCCAACGACCCTCAGGGATAGGAAGAGGCTGGAGCAAACCATAAGGAAGGTGGTTTGCACTGTTCACCTCCTGACAGGTGGGACACTCTGCGACGTAGTCCTTCACAAAGTCCTTGCGCTTCGGCCAGACGTACAGGCGGCTCACACGAGCCAACGTCTTGTGGAAACCCATATGACCGGCGGCTGCCTGGTCATGGAACTCTGCTACTGCTCGGACACGTAGCTGTCCAGTGGAGGGAACGTAAATACGGGGCCCTCTGGTGCCCTGTGAACCATGCCAGTACACAAGACCGTTGTCCCCGAGAGAGTAGTTCGGGACGGTCTTGCCACTCTGAAGGGTCACGTGGATGTTGCGATAGTCAGGGCAGTGGCGGTACTGAGTGCGAAACTCGTCGATCACCGAGTGGTGGACAGTAGTGACCGAGATGGAAGAGAGATGGATCTGCTCCTGGTCGTGGTCAGGGCGCCGGGATAAGGCATCTGCGACCCGATTACTTTCACCCTTGATGTGCTAAGTGGTGAAACTAAACTCGGATAGGTCGCGCCACCAGCGAGCCTGTCGAGGAGTGAGCTTTGGTTTTGTCAGAAACGCCTAGACAACAGAGTTGTCCATACGCACCGTGAACGGTGCCCCATGCAGGTAGTGACGCCAATGCCGAGCGGCATAAACTACTGCGAGAACCTCACGTTCATCAGCAGTTTAGTTTATCTCGGCGGGCAGGAGCTGACGGGAGTAGAAGGCTATCGACAATCACCTAAGCGAAACTCGACAGTGCCGTCCTCGGCGATGGTAGGAGAATAGTCAATAGAAGGCTCGTCAGTAGCTGGACGAGTAGGCGTCAGTCAGGAAGCAGAGGTAGGGGTAGGTGGTGGGAAGCGAGGGATACGGGGATGAGAGAAATCAGGAGAGGAGGGGAAGACCTGAGAAAGCACTGCTCCTACAGCGAAGTATGACGCATTGGTGGTAAGGATAAAAGGGCGGTCAAAATTGGGTAGGTGAAGAACTGGTGCGCATGTCACCGCCTTCTTGAGGGCGCGGATGGCGTCCTCGTGGAGGGGTGTCTAAGCCCAGGGTGGGTTTTTTCCGAAGGAGGGTGGAGGTAAGGACGTAGGAATACCTAGCGTATCCCCGGATGAAATTACTATAGTAGCTGGTCAGGCCTARAAAGCTGCGAAGCTGCTTGGCGGATGTGGGGGCGGGCCACTCCGCAATAGAAGTGATCTTCGCGTCATACATGTGGAGACCCTGGTCAGACACATAGTGTCCTAAGAAATTCACTTTGTGCTGGGCAAAGCGGCACTTGCTCAGCTTGGCGTAGAAGCCATGTCTGCGCAAGCGGTCAAGGACGTCGCGGAGGTGTCTGAGGTGCTCCTCAAGGGTACGACTATAGACCAGGATATCGTCGAGGTAGACGAGAACGTACTGCTCCAGGATGTGTCTGCAGATGTCGTTCATTGCCCTCTGGAAGGTAGCGGGTGTGTTGGTGAGGCCGAATGACATCACCGTGAACTCGTAGTGACCGAATCGCGATCGGAACGCGGTCTTCAGCTGGTCGGCTGCAGCGACGCAGATTTGATGGTAACCGCTACGAAGATCAATCTTCGTAAAGAAGCGGTTGCCTGCTAGGCGGTCGAACAGCTCATCGAAACGAGGCATGGGGTGGTTGTTCTTAACCGTGTAGCGGTTGAGACCGCGGTAGTCGATGCAGAGAAGAAGAGTTCCCTCCGCTTCGCGAGCAATGAGGACGGGTGCACCCCACGGGGAGTTGCTGGGGTTAATGAAACCCAGTCTCAGGAGCTCCTCAAGCTGACGCTTGAGTTCGGTGGCCTCGGGGATCGAGAGTCTGTAGGTTGCCTGGTGGTGAACACGATAGTCAGGCACAAGCTGAATGGAGTGCTCAACGTCGCGCATCGGTGGGATGCCAGCGTACGAGAACGACGATGGAAAAACGTCGTGGTACTCTCGGATGAGGTCACGAACTGCGGGTTCCAGGTCAGCAGTATATCGTGCGAGTTCCTCAGCGTCAGCGTCTGCGTGCGACGGCGGGTTGGACTCAACGGACGGCGGAGGGACGGAAGTAGAGATGGGAGTCATGGAGATAGAAGGAGGATCTGGCTCCAGAGGGATGAGCTCGGCGTCGGGACAGGGTGGATCATAGTGTAAGAGATCTGTCACGTTCACCATAAAGAAGGTGACGTCGTCCTGTCGAATGAAGTGGGCGAACTGCTGAGGCGAGGTGACAGTGATCGAGGGAGGTGGTGTGGGCACGGAAGGCTCCGGGGGAGGAGGATCGGGGCGTGGTGTCGCGGTGGTACCTATGAAAGGTACGCGATACGTCTGTCCACACTTCGTTTTGAGAACGAGAGTGTTCGTCGCCCAATCGGCCTCGGTGCTGCGGAATCGACGAGACCACGAGGTGCCGAGAATGAAGTCGTACCCCGTCTCCATCACATCGAAATGTGCAGAGGAGCGGTGCCGACGAGACGCCGGGGAACGATCAGTCGGCTCGAGAGTGAGGAAGAAAGGGAGGTCGGTGACCGTCTGATCAAAGAAGCGCTGGGTCTTGTCATCCCCTAAGGTAACGGAGATGGGAGTCAGAGACCCTGTCGTGGGTAAGCGAGCTTCTTTCACCACGCGTGGGTGAATGAAGTCGCCCTGAGAACCGGAATCCCACAGCGCGGGGTACAGCCTCGTAGAGGTCCCGAGTCGTACTGAGATGATCGGGAGGGTGCGATCAGGGTCAGAGAGGATAGCGAGAAGGCGACACAGTGCAGCGACATGGAGGGTGAGTCGCTCCTGACAGGCCTGGAGCATGCTCAACTCCAGAAGAGAGGACACAATGTCCTCGCGAGTAGCGAGCTGCTCGCTGCAACGGGCTGAGCGAATGGCTCGACACGTCGGTAATCGCGGCGGGGAAGGAGGGAAGACGGTGGTCTGCGGAGGCGCAGACGGTACTGCGACAGAGGGCTGAGTACACTCTGTCGAGTCCTGCGAAACCTCAACTCCAGTAGCGAGAGGGGCGAACCACGACGGAGATGTCGGGAAACCCACTACTGAGGAGGGCGCAGGTGTACACTGCACCGTGGCTAGAAGGCGCCGCGGGGATGCAAGGCGTCGGGGGGGGACTGAGCACGACGCTGGCGGGAAAGGTCAGCGAAGTGGCGGTCAAGGGCGGTGGTATAAGGGCACCGCGAGGAGGTATGACCGTCCTGACGGCATCGCAAACACCCACGTCGGCCCATAATAGCCGTGGGCTCCTTAGCGGAAAGGACACCGCGAGGAGGAACACAACCCTGAGGGAGGTCCTGCTGAGGGACCTCGGGGGGCGATGCGCCAGCGTGACCAGGGCGGCTGCGTACCCGGGAAAGGGTGGAGAGGATAAGTTGGAGGCGCTCAGCCATAGGGAGAGTAGGGTCCTCCAGGTGGTGCTGGACGACATCGCCGAAGTCGAGGTCATCGCTATGATCACCCTCTGGCGACGACGGGGCACCAGCGTCCTGCGCCCCATACTCGAGTGCGCTGAAGCGGCGCGAGAAGTGGCGGCCCTGCTGCGTGGAACGGTGGGGGCGACCGCTGAAAGGGGAACGATGCTTGGAAGTGTCGTGAGAGGAGGAGGAGGCGTAACCCGTGCACTGAGGCTGGGAGGAGGAGGCGGGGTGAAGACGGACTCACATCTGCTCATGGTTCCTGGCGGCCTCGTAAGCCTGCGGGGCCGATGTGAACTTGTACCGCCATAGCTCGGAGCGGTTCTCGAGCGGGAGGCTGGCCAAGAAACGATCGATAAGGGCAGCCTCGGGGAGGAACGCCACGTCGCAAACGAGACGGGCGTCCTGAAAGACCTGGATGTGGCGATCCAGGCCGACAGCGCCACCGGAGCCGGACCAGCGTGTAGTGATGACACGCTCGAAGGCATCAGTTACATTATATCGGGTTTCGAAGCGATCCTCGAGGAACGCCTGGAAATCCATGAAGGTCGGAGTCCGACCCTCACGCAGGGAGTAAGCATAGAAATCCTCCCAGGCGTCGAAAGGAGCACCACGCAGGCGCGTGGAGAGGTGACACACCCACGTGTCGGGTGTGGCGCCCATGAGCTGGAGCGTGCGGGTGGCAGACTGCAGCCACCTAGACACGCGTATGCCTGTACCGTCATACAAGGGAATGTCCGACAAGCGGATGAGTGGTGCGCCACCGTTTTGGCGGCGAGGGGAACGGGGAGCAGGGGACTGCGCTACGACGGAATAAGTTGGCGCAGGTCCTGGAGGGGGAGGCGCAACTGACTGTACGCCCGGGCCGCACGGTGGAGCGGCGGGGGAGACAGCAGCAGGCTGCGGGGGAGCTGCGGTAGAAGAGATCGCAGCAACCGAGGGGATGGGAAGGACGAGGGAAGCGCCTGCATGGAAGGAAGAATAGAGGACGAAGGGAGTGCGCCGGAAGGCGCGGCCACCTGTGAGGGTGGGTGTGGTTGAAGGCGTGAGAGGGCGAGGTCGGCCCGGAGCTGGGCGATCACATCCTCGAGACCTCGAACGTAGGTCGAGCGAGGTGTGGCAGGAGGAGATGCACGAGCGGCGCGAGGCATCCCACAAGGGGTAGAGCCAGATGGCGCTGCGGTCGTGCGAAGAGGGGGGAGAAGTGGGGCACCAGGAAAAGAAGAGACCATGGTAGCGGGTTGTGGTCCCGTGGGCGTCGTGACTGGAATCTAGGCGGGTGCGCCCGTGGACTAAGGGAAGGCCTGACTCGTGGCGGCCGTCATGCTAGGGGTGTGGACAGTCACCAAGATGGCCGGGTCGGGGGCGGCGGAGGAGGAAGCTCCGCCGTGGCCACCCTATCGGAGGACGGGGGACCCGGACTGGGAGCCAGGAGATGGAGGACACGCAGCATCCTGGAGTTGCTGCACGTCGGCGGCAAGGGTCGCCACCTATGCCTGTAAGGGCCCGAGGGTCGCGAGTTGTGCCTGGATGGGCGCAAGGGTCGCGAGTTGCGCCTGGATGGGCGCAAGGAGGGAGGTGAGGAGGGTGTGCAGATCCCCCTGGGGCTGATGGCCCTGGTCCGCCGGCACGGGTGTGGAGCTCGATGCCGTGGTCATCCCCGTGTCGGCGACGTGTGACACACCGTCGGCCATGGGGAGATGACGGACCGGACTGGAGGGGGCCAGAAGAGGTCCGCGTGAGCAGAGGGCGTAGGGGGAAGTTCGCGGTAGAAAGCGGCGAACGGCGCTAGAAAGGCTAGCACGGGCGCCGTCGAAGGGGGAGGGGTGGTTCGGGTCCAGGATGCCCGAAGAGGACGGGGAAGTAGGGGGGTTTTGAAGAAGTTCAACCCTAAACCCTGCAAAAACCCTAAGAAAACCCTAACCGAGGTTTAAGTGGTTAGGGTAGGGTACCGGTGACCTAATCAAGAAAGTAAAAGAGCAAGCATAGGGGGGGGCAGGCGGGAGAAAAATAAATAAACAGCGAGATTTCGAGAGAAAATAAAAATATATAAGGAAATAAATAAACAATAAAAATAATTAAAGAAATAGGTAAAAAGATGTGAAGGGAAAATAATATTTATTTTTTGAATTTTTTTCGGCAGCATTTCCCTACCCCCCACGGGGTCAAGAATGTGCCAAGGGGAAGGGAGAGACCAAGGTGAGCACACTACGTGTCAAGATGCCGCAAATAAAAAGAAATTTCAGAAAATAAATAAAAAAATAATAGATAAAGAGATAAATAAATAAATAAATAAAGAAGTAAAAAGTGGATGAGGAGGTGGGGCGGAATGAAGTATCTAATTTGTCAAAAATTTTGGCAGCATTTCGTTACCCCCATGGGGTCGAAGTGCGCCGAGAAGACCAAGTGTCGTCCCCGGTTCCCGACAAGGCCGCAAGGATGCCCGGTCATGGATAGACTAAAGCTAGACATATTTTACATAAAATAATGTCGCGCGGCTGCTAAGCCGTGCGATTCAGGGCCTTAGTAAGTAAAAAAGATGGTCGCGTCGGGCTTAGATCCGCGGCGCGAGAAGATTAGGAAGGGTTTTTTCTGGGGCCGCGGCGCACTGTGTACGCAGCTAATGCTCTTGGGCTAGACCATGAGCCGATGGGTCAGGATGCCGTCGGCTCGGCAGCAGTGCGACTAACTAATGGGAGGTACGACAAACCGAGCCTGCTTCGGCTGCGGCAGAAGGGCCTACAGGGGGGGCAACTCTTCTTATAAAAGAGCTGCGGGTTTAGCTTTCGTGATAGGAGCTAGCCCAGTAGGTACCGCCATCATACTTTCGCCCTGTGGATACTAGTATCAAGCCCCGACGACGACACCATTGGGCTAGCTCCTTTAGGAGTAGCCTGGACTCTTAGCGCGGCCGTTTTTGGTCGTGCGATAGTTCAGATCGTGCGGCTGAAAACAGCTGCGCAGATCAGCATGGCCCCTGCGCAACGATGACACTCATAAATCGAGAAACGACCCAAAATGTTTTCGGTTCCCAGATAGGAATCGAACGCGGGTCCACATGACGATGGAGAGGGGAGGAAACGCCAACAAAGCAAGGCATGGCAACAGTGGCCGTTGGCTTATGCCAACGACATCGACTTTATTGGACAAAAAAAAAAAAAAAAGACAGATAGCACCAGATGGCGCTTTGAGAAGACATGAGGGACTTAATGTCCCAACAATCGCAACACTGTCGTTTTTTTTAAGGAGGAGGATTCTGTTTTAGTATTTTTTAGATTCTTTATTTTATATATATATATTTTTCTTTAGATTTTGTTCTCTTTCCTACGAGTTGAAAAACGCCCGTTTGTTGAAAACGAACGGGCAGAGTTTCTGAAGACAGAACCATATGAACCTACCCGTGGACTGTGGGAACGTGCATTGCTATAGTGGTTGCGCTCTTTGAGATGAGTTGAACAACTGTGCCAGACTGTTTCGTCGGGCTTCCACCGACCCATCAGGAGGTTGAAGACCTCGACAGTCGGGATGTGAGCTTGCTTGGTGGGATGAGCAAGAACCGAATGAGTCTATCCTACAACATGAAACTAAACACTAACTGCACAGAGAGAGAGAGAGAGAGAGAGAGAGAGAGAGAGAGAGAGAGAGAGAGAGAGAGAGAGA